GAGAAAGTTGTTAGAACTTCAGGTTGGTCGCTGTATAGGGAAGAAAAACAGTTTTTGTATAGTATACAAAATTCAAGTGCAAATAAGACTGGTGTATAGTTCACTTGACTGATTGCATTGGGAGTTAACTTGGAACCTTTCTTGTTCCGAATTTAATTCTCTACTAGCCCGTAAACGTATCTTAGACTAATACTAATTAGTGAAGCAGAAATTTATCCTGCCAAGTGTCATCAGTGTCATGCAAACATAATCCGGAGATTCTATCTGCTGAAGAAAAACGACGATACTCATCTGTCTAAGATTGAGTTCATTTTAGACCGGATAATTATGTACGAACTGTTTTTCAAAAGGGGTAGAAAGTCTAACTATTAACCTATTTGTTCTGCAATTCGAGTGTCTGGCTGAAAAAAACACAACATCCTTCTGCATATATCGTCTATTGGAGCAAATTAAATGTTGATGATCAATTCATTGTTTGGGTACCATGACTTTCCGGCTTCCTCTTCGGGTCCTAGTAGCAAATCGTCCATTCGAATTCGTTGTATTTTGCGTGCTTTTCGACGTTTTCTAAATGATGTTCTCTTTTATGTATGGGAAAAGAAAGATAACGCTATAGTAACATCAGTAATTGAAGTATTTTTGTTGAACAGTTATGTACTGAAACCGTCTATACAAATTATGTACAAACGAAATTTTGATACTAGTTTCTATCTTAACACATAAGATAACGTAATATACGTCGCAACTGAAAATGAAGTTATTCTATTAGATACCTCATACATTATTGGTTTGTCGTCTCAAATGTAAGTATATTCGAAGAATGATGAACAGTAGTATTTTTTAAAGAAACAATACGTTTTCATTGACCCGAATAGCGGGTTTCTCACTTTCAGTTTCACGGTTTCCAACACTATAACTGAACTCTAGACGTCAGACGCACCAGTTTTAATTATCGCTCCTTTTGATGTTGTCAATCGTGATATACGTTTTCAAAATCCGCAAATGAATATACATTGGAACGAAATAAAAAAAGGGCAAATTCTACATGTTCATCGAAATATTCATTCATCTTATGGACAAGAAAGATAATACCTGGTTACTCGATATTCTGATACACTAACGCACCTTGAGGATTAGATGGAGATTAGGTGATTCTATTTACCTTGTGAAGATACTAAGTGAACTCATAACGGATATTATTTTTCTTAATCATAAGGTGACTGAACATTTCGACGAAAAAATATCGTCATTTGCTAAATGGTAGTTTAGTTGGACTTTTTCTAGCTGAATACTCTTCGTTCTATGGTGGGAAAAAAAACAGTTATGTTTTCCAAATAAAACAGTGTATAACACAGTGGACACGATTTAGATTATTTTATACACAACTTGTATGAATTTAGCTGTAATTAATTATACATAAGTGTTTATCAATTATTAGAGAAAGCATCACTGTTTAATTGATACAGAACACGGAAAACGGTTGTTGTATGAAGAAAAAATCATTCCGTAGTTTCTTTATCTAATTGTTCATTTCTAAGCATGCATCGCTTTTAACCGATAAATTTCACCGTTTTTCTGCATGAAAAGTGCGCACATTAAAATTTTCAGTTGCAAACAGTGTCGCTCAAAAAACCTTCCTCTTAGATGCTAGATACATTCATTTGCTAAACCCTTTCATGCGATCATTAAATGATCCATCTTAGGGATCACGTCAAAATAAATTCCGACTGGTCGTCATTCCGCCAGTATTCCTCTCGATCGTTATTCCTGGATTACGTTAGCTCGGATGTTTAATCTTTATTGCTCAAAATTTCATTTTAATGATTTCTTATATTGAACATCATTCTTATTCATCACGGTTAACTCAAGACATCAAAGACGCTTGTATGTTTCTTTCTTCTGTTCTTATTTTGTTCTGTCTAATTTACTTTTTTCTGCTCACTCATACTTTATGTGCATAGAACGTCTTTTCTTTTGAAACAAGAAATACGAAAAGAACAAATTTCCATTTTTATCGATGTTCAGTATATTGACTATCGGGGCAAAAAGAGTCAGTGCATGAAAGTTTCTTTGTTTAATTACAGTGTTTCTCATCCATGACGGAGAAAATTTGAGCGAAAGAGGATATATATGTATAATCACCTACTGATTCTGAGGTATATCACCATCCGGTTAATATCGAGTTTTTTTCGTGAAAACGGATGAGAAACACAACAATTACAGAAACTTTCATGCACTGGCTCTTTTTGCCCCCATAGTCAATATATTGAACATCGATAAAAGTGAAAATTTGTTCTTTTCGTATTTCTTGTTTCGAAAGAAAAGATGTTCTATGCAAGTAAAATATGAAGGAGCAGAAAAAAGTAAATTCGCCAAAACATGTTTATATTAGATGGACACCTGTCGGTAGCTAGTAAAATGAACCATATCACAGATTAAAAAGAATTAAAGTTTGTTTAGAGTTAAAGAAAGTGCTTTTCCGTATTCAGCACACTTGATAACCTGGAAAATTTTCTATTTTTGGCGAGAAGTACCGCGAAAAAGTTAAGAAAAATTTTCAAAATTGTATAATTTAACTATGGGGATTTTTCTGCTCAAGTTGTTTGAAAATTTTTCTTAACTTTTTTGCAATACTTCTCGCTAAAAATAGAAAATTTTCCAGGTTATCAAGTTTGCTGAATACGAAAAAGCACTTTTCTTTAACTCTAAACAAACTCTAATTCTTTTTAATCGGTGATATGGTTCATTTTTCTAGCTACCGACAGGTGTTGAAACAGAAGAAAAGTATATATTCTTAAAATACTCATCATATGCTGTTCAAATAAAAAGAAAAGTTTGATTTTCGTTGAAACAAAACCGTTGAAAGCGACTTTATTAAGTAGGACAAAAAGCTAATATTCATAAATTTATTCAAGCGGATACATACCATCACCGCTTGCGTCGCTTCGACAGAAAAGATCAATTTCCCTATACCGAATACTTTAAACACTCTTTGAACATTTGATAAAGAACTTTTTAAAGTTGTCACATCTTGCTCCTTATGTGTCTCTGTGTGACAATACTTTTTTCTCAGTTGGTTTAAAATCTTTAAATTAGTGGTCGTTGGTTTACATGCTGTCAAAAACGATTATTTATTTCCATTGAGAGTTTTAAAGTTAAAATCCCACATAAACTCTATGTATAGAAAATACCTGCTGCTGAGCTTCTATACACTTATGTTTCTATGACTTTTTATTGACTGACAGCTCCGTTTTGTGGAACAGGTATTCAGGTTTTTTTACTCTTCATAAAATGAAGAGAAAATTATACTGATATGATGCTCGTATTGTAATAGACGATTGAAGATTGTGTTGTGAAGATATCGTTGTAAAGTTGTTGAACTGTCATGCGAGCATGCGTAGCTAGCAAGACAGATTTTCAGTTTAGTCCTCCCATTAGGAGGAATAATGCGACTATAATAAACTCATCCGTAAACATATCAGTTTTACATACAATAGCATACAGCTGCAGAATGCAGGATCTCTGAGAATCATTGGCAGTATATTGATCAATTTGCTATTTTTTTCACAAATAAACTTTCACTTTGGAGATACTTTGCTAGATAGACCAACAGGAAGAAAGAAGGACCCGGTTCTATTGTAATTTATAATCGCCCTCACCGCATCAGTATTATATGGCCCGTTTCCGTAAATACGTCGAGCACGAGGGTACGAAAAAGCAGAAAGTCGATTCGGTTAACGATTTTGTCTACTACAAGTTCGAGCATGCTAGAGATTTACTTTGACCCGTTCGCGAAATTGATTTCAGATGATGGGTCTATCCACAAGCGAATCAACGTGATTCAACGAATTTAGTGTGTCCGATACTTGATTACTCAATTTCAAACACAACGATGATATTTGCTTAAGTAAAATTACCAAGGTTAGTTTTGACATTAGTTAATGAGGATAGGAAAACAACAGTCTGATGAGGTTGTTCCATTGAGCCATTTCGATGTCAATATCGTCGACGATGACTCGAGCGTAGACACGAGGAGCAATGACCTTATACTATTTTTAACATGCAATAATTGACATTCCACTCATGCTCACCGGATTACATCTCTTGGTGTCGTTTTGCATATAACTATTTAGAAGTTTTTTACAAAACTGATAATCGACGCATCAGGACCGATAATAAAGATAAGCACAACGAATAAGAACTGATTTTTTTGTTACGTTTTGCGCATGCATGTGATTACTTAATAAAAATTTAATACTTAACGAAGGAGCAGAACATCGGGAGCTGCGAATATTTGATTACTGTAGTGCTTAGATATGAATGTATCTTACGAGGGAACCTCTTGAGGTGATAAAACGCTTCTGGACTCCGACTACTTTTATCTTGTAGATCCTAGTAAGTAGTGAAATATCCTAAGATTGTTCATCCCCTTAGTGCTTTGGAATAGAGTTATGACTATTTCCAATTTTATTTTTGTACAGGCAAAATTTTTAACTTTTTAGAATGTATCATATTTCAAGTTTTGATCAAAAAACACGATTTTGCCCCTGAATCTTTGATTTTTCAGTCAGACAACGTTCAATAGGCATGATATTTTTACTATGGCCACTAGTCATAGTAGCCATGATTTCTCAAAGTTTGAGCTTTGCCGCTCACCGACTACTGGTGGAGATTACGAAAAAAATTATAATTTTCACAAGCGGCCATAAAAGTAGATGCACCACTTGCCAAAGCTAAGGCCTTGCTTCTTCCATAGATTGATGTCCTCAGGTCTTTACTACGTAATTGACAACCGCAAGGCTCCATCACTTTCTTATTAGAAGTTATTGGAACAATGCTGTGTTCATTCTATTTTGAAATAGATAGTAGTTACACAGTGAACGAATATGAACAACTAAAAATCATGACATTAGTATATAATCAATTTTAGAACAAAAGAAAAACGCAAAACTAATGGTGAAACTGATAACTGGTTATTATTCAACAAACTACCACCCACTTCACATATATTGGCCTGAAAAAAAAGAATCATTGTAATGTCGTCAAAGGCTCTTTCAGACCAGTTAAATGGCTCACTAGAATACGTTGAATCACCCGTTAATGGCTATTAACACTACAGATGTGAGATAGACAAGGAGCCAATGATATATCATCAACAACGAAATCATTTCCACCCCCACCAGGAGCATTTGAGATCATAAGCAATATAACCGACGTAGTAGGTGATATAAAGGACATACCGTACTTATCCCACTCAAAAGCAATGGTCTCAGGTATATCGCCAGAGGACACGTTAGCCACCAAAACATTTCCAATGGTTCTAATTTCAAATATGAAATTAGGTTTAATGCCTCCGTATGAGGCTTTATTTACATTGGCTACGTAAGCTGAAAACTCATAAGGACTTCCAACGGATAGGTCATTAATCGTACTTCTGAAAACCTCACCAGGTTGTTCATTAGCATTAACCAAAAACATATAACCATTCGTATCACCAGATGTATGATCCTCTCCCATGTGCCATGTGCCAGTATGGAAAGGAACTTGGTTGACGAAGCTGAACATGCCATCTTCGGTCAGAGGTGAATTTCTTTGTATGTAAGTAGTGCTAAAACCAAAGCTATCTGGGGTTGCATTATTATATAGATCTGCGCCTGAACCAAAAGTTTGCAATAGAACTGGATAACTAATTCCGCCAGTACAAAGGCCTTGAGGCTCTAAACATGCACGAAAAAAGCAAAATATAATAATAGTTTAGGAATGGCTTGCCGTGGAGTCATGCAACTTTTCGAGATGATAGATCTCAAGTTAGGAGAAAATTTGGCGAATGTTATATACACCTTTCAATCTGAATTCTTGATACATTGGATAATTCGAATGATGGCATCGTACTATGTGTATTTCCTTCAATTTCTAACCATCCCACCAAAAACTGCAAGCCAGAAACACTATGACCGAGACGACAGAAGATCATATTTTGATTCCTCGTTATTAAGAAATTCCTTTTTATCTGTTGATGATCTGACACTACTTGAACCACTTTAGAAAAGTTTGTTCTTAGATGTGCTGGAAGATGTGTTCCTTCAAGGTTAGAAAATCAGTTGCTAACAGATGTCATAAGAATTTGTGCCTTAGCCAATTAAAATAACCTCGATTGAAGTGTACGTTTTCCTGATTTATACTAAGCATAGAGTACTTGACTTTGACTTTAAAATAGGCTACTTTTCCAAAAAGATTATTGACTAGTTTTTGAGTCATATGGGTGACAACATGAGTGTGTGACTATAAAAGTATCTTTTACATATCGAAGAGATAATATTCATTTAGATAAATAATTTGTTTTTGACTTTCACTGAACTGGCTATTCCTTGCAACAAGTTATACACAAAATACGCTAAAGAAACGTTACAAAGTAGACGCCGGTTAGTCGAACATTGTTTCTGTAGATTGGTAAAAAACTGCTTTACTTAAACATCTCAACGCCTACGTTTATTTTTGGTGGCTCGAATGTGATTAAATGTCTAACTGATATGTTTGGAGTGGCTACATGCCGTAATGATAGCTAATGTCTCATGATAACTGATGTTCCTCCTGTGTCTGGTTGCATCATCACAATCAAAAATGCGGTGCCTTCGAAATAATTTTTCAAGACGCGAAGACATCTGACTGGTGTCTAGTATCAAAAAACAAGTTAACAGGTGCACCTTAAATAGCTTCATTATGCACTGTGGATACATTTTTCAATCATTACGATGTCTTACTACGGGATTTGCTATCAACAGTATGAGAAGATTCCATACAAAACGAAATTTCTTCATACTTAGACACATTCCAATAGGCGTAAAACGAAGCATTTATTATATGAGAACGTTTTTTTTGAAAATGACTTTAACGATAAGGTTTTCTTTATTTCTAGCACAAAATCGAAGAAAGCATATAGTTACGCGTGGTTTGAAATGGAACTCAGAGGAAACTAGTTGTTTGGGCTGAATCTAGCGGTAAATACGAAATTTGTGGGTTCTCCAAGTCGAGGCGGAAAACGAGAAAAAAAGCTAGTCTTTTCGGAAATATTCAATGATCTTTACGATTTCTTTACTATATGCATCAAAGACTCGGGCAATAATCTAAAGATTCGTTATTTATTGTTACGTTAATTAACTGCAGATGGTGGTATGCGCAGAAATCAAGAAAAAGACACAAAGTGCTGCAAACAAACAACTGCATACCTTGAATCTCACAGTTTCGACCACAGTAGCCGGTGGCCATGCAGTTGCATGTGTAAGCTGCTGGGCCGCTTGGCGTTGCACTAAAATCAGGTGTACAAATACCGCCGTTTTGACATGGATTTGTTGTATTAGCGTCACTGCAAGGATCTTGAAAAGAAAAAGAATCGATGATTGGCATTCACTCGGATCCTTTTGAAATATAATATTGATTTGGTTAAATGGCGTTATAAACAAAATATGTAACAACGGCATAGGATGCGTTAAGTTAAGTTTCCTAGTAGAACAGCATATGAAGCATTTACTGTTTCTGTATTTTCCTCAGTTTATTTCCTCCTTATTCTCCACCATTTCCTCTTACTATCTCATGCTGGAATAACATACAGTCCGAGACTGGGTTAAAAACCGCTTTCTTCTGTGTTGCATCTGACCTCGTCTTTTTCTAGAAACATCAATAGAACTGAACCGAATTTTTCTTCACTATAGATGCAGCAAACATTCGCTTAAACCCATTCAGTGCGTCTTGCTCATGTTGTACTACTGTCTCTCCCAACATTTAAAGCCATTCATCAACTGTCTATGGTTTGCCTGATAATCCACTTACTGACAAATTGATTTCGCAACAAGGTGGTTGCATCATGTAGCAGGGAGCTTCTCTCTACCAACCTTTTAACATCAGTCAATCGACTGGTTTTCTTTTTTCCAGTGATTCTTGTGATTGATGAGTCGTGTTTCGAGCACTGTGCTATTCTACCTGTAGATAGGATGAATTATTATAGGTGCAGTACACAGGATGGTGCATGTTTTTAGTCTCCTCATAAATTAACCGAAACCAGGCATTATACACAAGCTTTGGAAGTATGTAGATGCGATGACGATGCTGCATTCAATTGATCATCTTGTATCGCGAATAGTAACATGTGAAGAGGGTTGTTGTTTTCCAATCTCTCTGCGCGATGCTTTTTATCTATATGCTTACCTGTCGGAGGATCTGTCGTTGCCTCTGTACTCATCGTAGTTGAAGAGGCTAAAACTGAACGTTTTCGTGAATAATAGTTAGAGTAGACTTGTTACTCTTAGTATGATAGCTCTTAGTAATAGTTAGAGTATGACTTGTTCAAGCTTCTTAACCCTTTACGGCCGGGTGTTGACCACCAGTAACATCGATCTATTAAGTGTCGAAGGAATTTCGCTCTAAAAGAATACACTTTCCCGATCCCTGTCACGGCAAAACAATAAATATAAAGAGAGGAATATTTTTATTAGTTAATTTTTGGCAGTCGACAGAAAAGGAACATACACAGAAGGGGATATGGTTATTAAATGGCCTATGCAGCCGGCCGTAAAGGGTTAAGAGAGGATCCGTGAGAAAACCGACCTGGAATAGTGGCCGGAGCTAAAATTTTGTTTTGTTTTTAGTATTCTAGTTCGACAAAGCTCATTGAAAAGCTAAGGAATCCAAGATATCTCGCCTTCGTATTGCACTGTTATTGACCGTCAAGACTTCAACATAGCTAGACTAGTCGACTGACACTTCCGGATAACTGAAGTCTACCGATTATTTTTGTATATCATCAAAATAGTATTAGGGCAGAAGCAATTATGCAAAAGCATAA